GGGCATACCAATTAATTCTGCCAGTTTCATCTGCAATTGCCTCAGGGCAAATGAAATTCTGGGCCAACTGCACAGGTGAGGAGTTAAAAACACTGATTTTGTGCATGCTATTTCTTGTGTGTATTATGTAGAAGGCAATAAACGACCAAATGGGATACTAATTTAAGTACAGGGATGACTAGAGATATTTTGCACATATCAGAAAAAATAAAGGAGTCTCTTGGTGTCCATTCAGCACTGCTACCCCAGAAACTGATTTTCTTCCTCTATATTTTCTGTGCTATGTTTCTCTGTGCTGTGAGCTGTAATTCATTGTTGGATTAGTGAATGTCATGGTTAACAGATATATACAAACAAGCAAGCCCCCCAGTTGTTAAGTGGTTGTTGAGTTAAAGTCCTGACTTCAGTCAGATTCATTGTCTGGAAGCCTAGCTCCACTTGAGTTTCTGGCATAACTGTGTCATTTAATCTGAGATCTTCTATTCTCTCCCTAAGTAAAATCAATTGACTTTTGCATAATGTTTCTGCCCTGTGGTCACCTTAATGGTTTGTAACCAACATTTTTATTGGGATTGAATGGGAACACTAAAATGAATGGAATGGAATGGAATGGATTGGAATGGAAGAACACATAATTGTTTCATAACCACATATATCTTATTGTGGGTTATGGTGGAAAACTTTTGATACACTGCCCTGAAGGATGCTGTGATTCCATCCATCTCAATCTTATTTTGCCTCTCTTTGATTTTCCCAGTCAACAGGCATTTCAAAAGTTCTCCCATTATATTTAAAGGAGATCTATAATTGAAGTGGTGGCTTTGTTGCATACATTTGGAAAACAGAGATGAAAACGAGCCAGGCCCGTTGCAATCTTCCTGAACAAGTCATCCCTCTGAGAAGGGCTCAGATGCTGAATGCACAGCTTTCTTTTTCAGAAAGAACCCATTCTGCCTTCAAGTCTTGAGGTGCAGAGCTTTTAGTTCTTCTGCTAACAGAGCCTCTGCTGTAAAAGCAAAATACATCTGTCTCAGCTTCAACCAAGGAAAAATAGGCCAAGTGTACAGCAAACAAAATCTATGATGACTGGAATGTTGTTTGTCAATGTATTTAATTAGTCTTCTGCCTTGAGGGCAATAAAATTTGCCTTAAAGTAGCAAGCAGATCCTGCTCCATAAAACCACAAGTTGCAAGTCAATGCAAACATATACCTACATTGACAGACATAAATATTTTACTCTGCTTAGAAATATTAGAGGTTTTAGGGGGATAGGCAACATGAAAATCACTGAGCAGAGCTGAGCTAGCCAGAAAGAAAAGAGCTACCAAGAGAAATCTAGGCATGTGCAGTAGCAGGATAAAATAGTGATGCCAGCCAGGGCTATGGATAGGGCCTGAGGAAGCATGGCATGGAGACAGACATGTGAAGGAGACAGGGTGGTGGGAGACCAGCCAACTGATCATGCTGCCAAACTGTAGCACATCGATAACTGCAATTAACCAGCCTTGGATAATAGCCCTGTTCTGGGGGGAAAAAAGCATTGGTCTCTGGTTTAATTGACTTCAAGTGCTGATGAAAATATCATTACATTTCATAACAAATGTTCTTTGAATGGATTTGACAATCTAGAGACTTTTTTCAATTGACTAACAATTTGATTTCCAAAGATGGAATTACTTTAGATAAGATGTTTGACCCTTCAGGGAATGACCAAATTCTTCCTGCATACTCTTGATCGATACATTAACATCTGATTCACGATCTATTTTTTTCAGTAATCAAGAATTTAGGCCAAAAACAAAACCATTAGCTTTCTTCTCTCTACATGACCCCTTCCAATCAACCGATGTCCTACATTGAGAGAAGGGCCTAACTCTTGCCTTATTGTTTGCACTAAATAAACCCTCACTCTGCATATTTGCCTAATGCTTAGAAGCCAAGAAAGGGCTTGCTTGCACAATTTGATCCATACTCCTGAATAAAAAATAACTAGAGACAAAGTAATTCTTTGGTCAAATTACAGAGATTGCAACCAACATACAAGCAGGGTCATTTTTGAAAATTAAACTATAAATCATAAGAATATATCTGTTAGAAAATTGATATAGAATATCTGAGAATAGGCTTCCAGTTAAAGGAAGAACCACTGCAGCAAGTCTTTCAACATAAAGCCAGGCCAGGTGTGGTATGCATGCCTGTTAACTCCAGCTACTCAGGAGGCTGAGGCAGGGGGATCACAAGTTCAAGACCTGCCTGAACAACTTAGCAAGATCCTGCCTCTCAAAATGAATTTTTTTAAAAAAAATTGAGGTGTAGCTTATTGGTAGAGTGACTTCCTAGTATTTATGAGGCCCTGGGTTCAAAACCCAGCACCACAAAAAAAAAAAAAAAAGAAAGAAAGAAAGAAAAGAAAAGAAAGAAAGAAAGCATTAAGCCAAGACAGTCAAATTTAGCTGTTAACCTCTTGTAATAACATTTAATCATGCTCTGCAAGTCTTAAAAAAAAAATAGTAGATTATCTGGATCATGTAACAACTTTGAGCTGCACTAAGAAAGAAAAGAATTTCCATTTTTCTTATTTTCATTTTTACCTCCAGAGAGAGTATTAATTTCTAGGCATTGGCAGAATGTTCCTAAGGTAATCTGAATAACTTGAGTGTAATCTTAAACTTGTCTTCTGTTGGTAAATATTGTCTTTGTAATTATAACTCTGTTTATTCCAAATACTGAATAAACAGAAACTTCATTTGTTAGGACAGTGATTTTCAAACATTGCTGAATATCAGAATTTCCTGCAGAGCTTGGTAAACATATAACTGCCAAGATCCAATTCCATTAATTACCCAGAAAGACTCAAAAGAATGCTGATACCTGACCTCAGTCTAGACCATTTAAATCAGAATCTCTGAGAATAAAATTAGAATATCTGAGAAAAGACATTGGTATTTTCTAAAAGTATCCACATGATTCTAATGTGCCAACCTAGGTTGAGAACTCCTGCTATACTGAGTGTGCTTTAGTAGGTCAAGTGGCGCCCAGCCCACTCCATGCTTAACAGGTATCTTTTGTGATTCAGAGAATCAAGTCATTTGTCTGTGGACCTTACTTCTAAAAGCATTTGCCTAGGTCAGGTCAAGGATCAATGCAACTGCACAATTCTGTGAATTGGTGACTCAAAATAGGCATATCTCATTTCTCCTTTGACATATTTTCTATTGTAATAATACCTCTTAAAACTATGTGGTAGGGAGGGATGATTATATTAAAAAAATAATCAGACTTGTAACAGTTAAAGATATGAAATGTGTTGCATTAGATGAAAAGTTGATTTTCATCTGAAGGTATTCTCAGAATTTCATAACAAAATTACATTTCTGAGACAAAAATCAAGTCAAGGTATAGGCACAAGGAGAGTCATATGGTATTATTTTTAGTAGTAAAAAACTAAAAACTATTTAAATATCTATTCAAAAAGGAAATAGAGGGCTGGGGTTCAGCAGTAGCCCACTTGCCTGGCATGTGTGAGGCACTGGATTTGATTCTCAGCACTACATATAAATAAATAAAATAAAGGTCTATCAAATATATATGGGAAAAGGTTATATTGCATACAATTAGCTATCATTTAATGTTACTATTAATTGAGAGAGCAGCCATTAAAAAGAATGTTGCTACTTTCTATGTATTAATTTTTTAATCTCAAATAAAACTATAAAAATATACAGCCATTTGTATTTAAAAAAAAAAACAGGCTTATATGAAAATCCATGAGATCTCCCTGGAAAGATACACAATAAACCATTTCCTCCAGGGAAAAAAGTGTATGGATGGGAAATTGAGGCTCACTTTCTCCATTAATATTTCTTTGGTCCTTTAGGATATCTGTAGCATTTGAATTACTCAGTCAAAATTTTTAAAACATAAAAGATCAGGAATAAACTATAAACTTTTAAAGTATATTTCTGTGTAAACAAACCCCAATATAGAGTAGACTTTAAATAAATGTTTATGAAACCTGCTACCTTATTCCTCTTCTATTATCAAATCTCTTCTTTCCTTGTGCAGGAAGGAGGAGAAGGAAAAGGTTAGCTGAAGTGTGACATAATATATTATACCTTAGCACCCACTGAGTGTTATGTATGTGCTAAGCATTATGCTAACAAACATCCCGACATATGTTCATCATCTCAATTCTACAATATCCCTGTAAAGTAGATATTATCATTCCTCTTTCACAGATGAGAAAACTGAGGCTCAGAGAGTTTACTGCAAGCTCAAGCAAATTGTATTTTATACACATATGCACAATTATAGAAGCACGTTTAAAGTATATGAAAAATACTATGGGGACTCTTTCTAAAGATATTGAAACATTTATGTATGATTACATAATGTACAATATTACTATAATACAAGCCAAGAGAGAATATTATGTGGGCACTTTACAGTGAAAAAATCTCAAGGGGAAGAATTTGGGAAAGTTTCATAGAAGAAAACATGACTATGTAGGACTTTGAAAGGAGAGGTAGAAAAGGAACAGTCACATCAATCATGTGTTTAACACTGTACTAAGTGTTTTGTATAAACTACCACAATGTAGTCTTTCAGTCCTAACAATTCTAAGTATTATTGTGCCAAATTTTAGATGAATAAACCAAAACCTAAAGAAGAAACTTCTCCAAATGTTCCAGTCCACATTTATTGTCTCCTTGTCACCTTCTCTATCAGAGATTGACAGCGTGTGTTTGGGCACTTAAGTATGCATTGTCTGATATATGACTTGGGTGTTGTGTGCACGCACGTGCACATGCTCCAGTGCATGCATGCTCTCGTGCACACATTCCTTATCTCTAATACAAACATAAGCTATGTGAGACAGGAACCTGTACTCTACATTCCTTTAGTGTGCCTCTTTGATATGTTTATGTCATAGACTGAAAATATGTTGATGCATAAGTGCTAAGTTTGTATAATCTCACTATTGTTATTTTGCATAAAGGTTTTATGACAGCAGATGAAAGGAAAATATTTGACCACCTCAAATCTCCTCATCTGAAATACTGGGTTCCATTCATCTGGTTTGGTAATCTTGCAACTAAAGCCCGAGATGAAGGTAGAATCAGAGACAGTGTTGATCTTCAATCATTGATGACTGTAAGTACATCATAAACCATAAGTTTAAAAAAAAATGCCATTTAGATCCCCTAAAGAACCTAGATATAACAAGTCAGACCAGAACGAATCTGCTTTGTTTAATCCTGGTTCCCTGAAATTAGAAACACTGGGGTAGTATCAGAAGCTACAGTGTACAGGACAGAGATAGTATACAGGTTGAATTCAGATTCTTTTAGTGGCTGTTTGGAAGCTGTGTTTCAACAGAATCCTTTGTAATAGGTTCTGTAAAAAGTACTCCCCCCACCCACCCCCAAGTGTTGGGAATCAAACCCAGGGTCTCATACATGTAGGCAAATGCTTTATCACTGAACCACACTCCCAGCCCAAAAGTGTTCCTTGATTCGTTAACCAAGGGCTGCCAAGAGACCTGAAGGATTTGGTGCCCACACAGCATATTTGCAACCCCTAGGATAAAATCTGGAGGAAAAGTAAACCTCCTAAGCCATTTCCCCAAAACTGGACTATCCCAAGCTTAAGTTAGCTTTTCAGGTGTTCCAATTATTCACCTGAAAAAGCAGTATTTTCACTACACAAAAGAGCCCTGAGTTCTTCTGAGAACAAATTTACATAAGAACTGGATACATTTGTGCCACAACTGTCTCCTGCTTGGATTAGGCTGAAAGGAGTCCAAAGCTTAAAAACAGCTCTCAAATTAAGGTGAACTCTTCATCCCAGTCTTAGATAATAATGTATGCTCAATAGAGGAAAGAAATCAATGAAACTCAGTCCTTTCTATGCCAATTCCTATGCCACACAAAGATGGATTTTTCTATCAATATGAGCATTCAAAAGTCTCCATTTGTAGCAAGGGGAAGATTTAGGATATATTTGCATCTCTTTTCTAAGATCTATATTAAGCATGTTTTTAAATGAGAAGGGGAAAAAATACCCTCAAAATTTGCTAACTAGAAATTACAATTTAAATATCAACCATGGCTTTCTTATCACCACTTTCACCTAATATATGTGTTGGAAATTATGGATCCTATAGAATAAGGGATATTTCTATAAAGTCCTGTCTTATTTTAATATTTTAAAGAATATGTATGTCCAGATGTTCTCACCCTTTTTGCACATTGTTCAGTGATGCTCGTTGCTTGTCATTTTCAGAACTTTCTTTTTGTAGTAGTCTTGGTAGCCAATTTATGAGCCACAAAAGCAAACCCATCACTTTACAAACCCATTTGGAAAAGACGTGCCCATGTTATGAATCCCAGTTGATGTTTATTACCATACTCATCATCATATTAAATCATGTTTTGTTTCTGGCTTAGGAAATGAATCGATACCGCTCTTGGTGCAGCCTCTTATTCGGTTATGACTGGGTTGGGATTCCACTGGTTTACACACAGGTATCAAACACTTTGCATGTGATATTTTCTATTTGCCCACCTTGGCACTCTAGCTCCCTGTGGGAAGCTAGCACTGTCCTCTCACTCCAGTTTCTCTCTATTCCAGGTTGTCACTCTTGCTGTCTACACCTTCTTCTTTGCATGCCTGATTGGACGCCAGTTTTTGGATCCCACCAAAGGCTACGCGGGGCATGACTTAGATCTTTACATTCCAATCTTTACTCTCCTACAATTCTTCTTCTATGCAGGATGGCTCAAGGTAGCCATCAGTTTTGGTGCCCTAAGATCCACTCTTAATCTATCATTTTCCAAATTCCACACTGCTTCTACATTGAGTCTTTAGAAAATTATTAATCAGTGAATCAAAGGCAGATTTAACATGTAACAGCTCAGATATGTGATCACTTTTCCATCAAGGATTAAAATGACAGAGATATAGTTCAACTCTGTTGCAGCAGTCTGAAGCAGTTTGTTATGTAAAGAGATTAGAAGAACACTTTTTTATAGTTATTGATTTTTTTAGTGTCTATTTGTTCCCATTAGGATTACAATAGTGTAATTAAAGTAATAACTGTGCCTGCATTTTTATACCACAATAAGCAACTAGGAAGAGTAAGCAAGGACAAAGAAGCAGCTTTGGATATCAATCAGATTTAAGCATTAATTGTGTAGTAGTATCTTAGTTCGGCTCAATTCGGTAAATTCTTGCTTGAAATCCTACTAGCTGTCCCACACCATTAAGTGCATCCAATTTTCAAAACCAGAACTAAGACTCAGAACTCATCGGAATCAAAATCAGAAACACCAGGATTAATGATGACATTGAGTTTGCAGGAGTTTAAAAACAGGTTAGAGCAGTAAAACAGCTTGTCTCATTATCAATGAAGAATTTTATTGGTTTCACCACCTCCACCACTATCGATGCTCCTCTCAACCCTCCCCAGGTACATGTGTGTAAGGACCAGAGGCCTGATTCTTCCATCACTTTGGTGAATATCCAAATGGGAAGTATGTGATAGGAAGAAAGTCAAAGATAATGGCATCATTAAGTCAACTAAAATCTAACAACAGTTTAAAGGTGACTCATGAAATAGAATTTTCAAATGTCTGGTCTTCCAAACAGCCACATTGTCATGCCTTCAGATTGTAGCAAATTTTTTTCCCTGCAGAAGTCTTTTCTTTCATCAGTTTGACTTTTACCCAGGAAAAATAAATATGTTGGCATTTCAAATTATACTCCAAGGACTAAAGGCTGTCCTTTACAAATGGCAAAAATATTTTTAACCAGATGACAGTGATTGTTAATTATTTTTACTTACGAGTAAGTAAAAGAAAAGGAGAGTTAATGGCTCTCATTTCCCATTAAAGAAAAAAGTAGACTTTGTCTTTATCAACATAAAATTCACACAGGTGGCCCAAAGGTAAATCATTCTTGTGTTTTTTGTTTGTTGTTGTTGTTGTTCTTTCCCTGAGTTTTGCTGAGCTTCTTTGCTTTATGTCCATGTAAGGTGTTCAGCTGGCCCATAAAGCAGTAAATGGTTCCTTTCTTCTGATGCACTTTCTAAAATATTAACATCCTTTGTCTAAAAATATTTTTAAAAAATATGAAAAGGCATATTCATAGCTCTACTAAGAGACAAGTAAACTTAACAGAGTGAGTTTTCCCAATCCAATGAGTTACATTTCAGTTTCTAAAGAGCTATTTTAGCCTGACAATTCAGATATTTATAAATCTTTTCAAAATGTAGAAAACCATCTGGACCTTCTAGACATTATATTACTCAGTTACTTGCTGAAAATTGAGCCTCTAATAAAGCATATTTTTGTGAGATTGTAAATTCACAAACATAGGTATCATTTTAATAACTGTAGATTATAATAATATACACAGGATTAACACCATAAAACTGAAATTTTATATATAACAAAAATATTTTCAAGAATAAGCAGTGACTCATTTAATTTGAGAAAAACCCCAGGCAACCCTCACAACTCACAATGAAGGACTCACACAGCTGTCATTGAGAGACTTACTGACACAGCACACTGCCCTGCCCAGGACTGTCCCTTAGAACAAGGGAGATACACTTCTTTATGTAAGTGGATCTCAACCTGCCCATGCTTTAAAATCTCCTAGGAGCTTTACATAGTACCAATTCCTGGGTCCAGCATAACACTGGTTAAGTCAGAATATTGAGAGGAAGGACTCAGGCATTATTTATTTTTTAAGAGCTCCCCAGGTGATTTTAGTGCATAGCTAAGGTTGAAAATAACTGCTGTAAATGGTTTGACTTAAATACTAAAAACTTAAGTAAGTAAAGCTCCTAACAGTGGTCTCAGAATCTAAAAATCTAGATACTAATCAAATGATATATTTTATATGATTATAAATACATAATAAGTATGTAATATTTTAAGTATATAATAAGGAAAAAACAATGAGAGAAATAAATTACAGTAGATGGGGTAGAGAGAGAAGATGGGAGGGGAGGGGAGGGGGGATAGTAGAGGATAGGAAAGGTAGCAGAATACAACAGACAGGAGTATGGCAATATGTAAATCAATGGAAGTGTAACTGATGTGATTCTGCAATCTGTATTTGGGGTAAAAATGGGAGTTCATAACCCACTTGAATCTAATGTATAAAATATGGTATGTCAAGAGCTTTGTAATGTTTTGAACAACCAATAAAAAAATAAGGAATAGGTAAATAATATTTTATATACTTCTAAGTATATGGTGATATTACAAGTATATAACTAATCAAACAATATATTTTATATACTTGTAAGTTTTTCCTATGTAGAGGATTCAATGTAAAAACACACACACATTCTCTCTCTCTCCCCCCCCACCTCTTTCTCTCTCTCATACATACACACACAAATCAAAGTAAATTATTCAAAAAAGTAAATGACAAGCAAGTCATTTTAGACATTTAAAATCTCTCATCAAGAGGCTATAGAAGCTGGGCAAGGTGACACACACCTGTAGTCCCAGCACTCAGGAAGCTGAGGTGGGAGGATCCCATGATCACAGGAGTTTTCAGACTAGCCTAGGCAACATAGCAAACCCCATCTAAAAAAAAAAAAAAAAAAAAAAAAAAAAGCTATTCAGTTCAGGAATATGATAAGAATATTTAATATCTATCAAACATTTTTAAATATAATAAGAAACCACCTAAACTTTTTCAACAGGAAATCTACCTTACTAGATAGATAAGAGCCAATTTAGAGTAAAGCTAAGTAAGCCTCAAATTCCAACTTGATGACTGACTAGCCTGCTCTTTCACTTAGCGGTTATGTCTAATAATTGTGAAAACACCTTGCACTTTCTTTAACTATGACTTAAGTCTTCCTCTGCTGTTTAACTTTGTCTTATCATCTTAGCCCTTATAAATTCCTTGAAAGCACAAGCTATGTGCCACTCACATGTTGATGACTCTTCAATATGCACTGGTTTGAGTGGGCACCTAAACGGCACAAAGCTTCTCTGTGATAGGGCCTTCACTGTCACCAGTTGAATAGACAGATCCATGTGGAGATCATGCAAACAAAGGAGCATCATTTATGACTAGAGAATCAAGTCTCATATCCTAATAAGTATCTGTCTGGAGAACAACCCACTCCCCTCTAGGCTTCATATTATGAAAGTGACAATATAAGGAGAGAATAAAATAGGAATCAACTTCAATCTCTGTTCTTAATCTTCACAAGTATCATGATAGATTTATTCTGTGTTTCCAACTGCAGGTGGCTGAGCAGCTTATCAATCCTTTTGGAGAAGATGATGATGATTTTGAAACTAACTGGTGCATTGATAGAAATTTACAGGTTAGAAGAATTTTTCTTTCCTTTATAAACCTTAACAATAAATCACCTGTGATTTTTCTCATTTAAACAGATTCTGGATGCAGGCCCCTGGACTTCAGAGCATTAGCCACAAATTAAAAAATTTGACTAGGCATATATTATCCTTTTGGAACCTCACAGGTCCTGGATCTCAGTTCCAGTGAAATTTAGGTAGAATTTCAAATCAATTTTCTCTATAAGTTTCTCTATCAGCTTTGACCAGCCTCTTCCATCTAGAACAAAGCAGTATTTTAATTCATTTTTTATCTGTTTCACTTGGCACCCAAAGAGGTTAACAGTGACATAAAATAGCATCCAGATACAATCTGATGTGACTTGCCAAAGTCACAGCTCACAGACCTCAGCAGTCAGTTGTCCAGCAGCTGGACACTGGGAGCCTGGACCACACAGGCCTGTGTCTCAAATCTGCCTGACATGCATAAAATGGACTCCCTTCTCAGTGAGTTTTCCATGAAGAACCAGCATGAGGGGAATGTTAGGCAAAACTCTCCTCAGACTATTCTCTTCTCTAAGTAAAGGCCTTCACTTTGTCCATTTGTTTCAAGCCCGACTTGGCTTTTAAACAGGTTCAGACATTTCACAGAGATTACTTTGTCAGTCTGTTAGGGGAAGAAGTGCAATGCCTGAATCATCCTGTCAAAAATTGGTTCTGAGAGAGTAATTTATTTATGTATCACTCAGTCAAAGCCAAAGGGAAAGATGATTATAGCTTCAAACAGCATAGGCTTGCTGATGTGCTTTTCTAAAAAAACAAGAAACCAGGGATTGTTAGAAGTGATGTCAAGTAAAAAAGTGTTTATGGGGTTAGCAGAAATGAATACTGAGGCTCTCCACCTTGCTGCACTACCTGGAGTTAGGTGGTTGCTGGCAGGGTAGGCACTAAGATAATACCAGTACTGTGAACAAAGAAGGAAAAGGTGCTTTGCCTCCCTACAGGTGAGATGCAGCTCCATCCCCCGAGCATAAGGCAGCTTGACAGCCTCACTTATACCACTGACCAACACCTGTGAACAACAGGTGCAACTCTCTGCAGTAGCCCAGGTTGTAGCAAATATATGCTGTAGGCATCTGTGCATCCATTCATTTGGACTATGTCCTGTTGCTCTCAAACTCCAGTCCCCCTACTGAAAATTCTTCTCTTTTTTTATATAATTCACATCTGATCTGGCCTAACAATATGACGATGATTTTAGGTCTCTCTTTTAGCTGTGGATGAAATGCATATGAGCTTACCCAAGATGAAGAAGGACATTTACTGGGACGATTCTGCTGCTCGACCACCATACACACTGGCAGCAGCTGATTACTGCATACCCTCATTTCTAGGGTCAACAATCCAAATGGGGTAAGTGTGTGTGTGTGTGTGTGTGTGTTTTAAATCTTCAGTATTTAAAAAATAATGTGATCACTGATCTTTTGACATGGGGGGGGGGTTCTTTTCTAACCATGCTCAATAGACAAGTCAGTCTCTATCCTTATGTACCAGGAGCCTTAAATAAATAGGTTGAGGCCTGAAGTGATTCATGCATAGTTCTAGAATAAGTTTATTAAGTTCGATTTTGGAGAAATGTGTGAATGGGGGAGGGGATTTTATATATATTTGCTAACAGCAGATGCCAGTTTCTAAGTAGCTTAAAGTAAGCATAGAAAATTTAGAAAGTAATAACCCCCTGCCCCCCCACTCAAAAAAAAAACTGTAAAAAGGGAAAACTTTAATGGACTTTTCATGGCAAAACTTTGGCTGTTCCTTGAAGTCAATCTAAGCAGATTGTGGAGCAGATTCATGTCTAGTTGCCAAAGTAACCATCTTTCCTTGCTCAGGGTTCTGCTTCTTGTTTCCCTACTTACAGGATATCTAGCTTCTGTCCTACCCCTATAAAGTGTCATTCTTAGCCAAATGTCTAATCTTCAAAAATAATGATGCTTTTCCAAAGGGGTCTGCTTGAGAATCCAAAGCAAAGGGTGACAGAGTGGAATTTCAGGAGTGTTGGCAAATGAGGAAAATGATTTAGGAACTAGGAGATTTGCCTTGGTATCCTCCAAGTACACCTTAGAGAAGGTTGCCCATGCCAGGCTGGACTTGCTTCTGCTTCTAGATGGCCTTTTAAGACTGAACCTTTTCATCCAGGGTCCTTCCAGGCCAGGTTGCTTATCCTTAGCCCAACTTATTGCTCAGTCTATGAGTAGCAATTTCCTGTTGCTGACACTTGGCAACTTGTGTAATTCCTTCTGCAGTGGCAGAGCTTCATGGACATCTGGCAATCTTCTCAATTTTGAAAATTAATAAGAGATGTTTTTCTCTGAGTTTGTTTTTAAATAAGTAAGCATGCTTTATCCTTCCCCCTACTCCCACAACTGCTGAATGCAAAAATATTTAAAGATCTAACTTGCAAAAGAAGGGAGACCAACACCATTGATAAAATCAGGGCATCATTGTGATGATTCTATTTAGACACCCTATGTTCCATTTCTAATGTCCATTAAGTTGATTTTATATAATGTTTAAAATGACTTTGAGGGATCTCAAGATTTTTATTTTGGTCTATGTATTTATACTAATTATATAATTTCCAGTGCCTAACTAAATATCCATGTTCTTTAGAAAATATTAAAATAGGGGGCACTGGGGACATCCCTGTAATCCCAGCAACTCAGGAGGCTGAGACAGGAGAATCACAAGGTCAAGGCCAACCTCAGCGACCTGGTGAGGCACTAAGCAATTAAGTGAGATCCTGTCTCAAAATTGAAAAAAAAGAAAAAAAGCCGGATGTAGCTCAGTGACAAAGTGCCCTTGGATTCAATCCCAAGTAACCGATTCCCAAAATAATAGCAAAGAAAATATTTAAATACATGTTTCTCCTGTTTGTAAACACAGAAACACAACATTACAGATTTATAATTTCTTAATTGTAAATTAAGAATTGTAAATTACAGAGATGATTAAATGATATTATAAACATAAAACAATCTAATATAACCATAGAGCATTGTTATTATCAGCTATTCAGGTCTTTTATTTGTTGATTTCAAACTGAGGCATAGAAAGATTGAATAAACCTAAACTTTTTCATATTAAAGTAACCTGGAAATCTGGGACAGAAAATAAAACAGTTGAGACAGAACCAGGAGATACATTAAGACTGCAGCAAAAATATATTAGCTATGAGATAGGTCTGTTTACCAGGATGACAGGGAAGAGCCCAGGTGAAGGCCAAGGTCTGTGAAGAGGTTTTGTATGAGATGCCTAGCAGGACTCTACTAGAACCAACTGACCAAAGAAGCAGTTAGGCAAAAGCTCAGTTGGTCTTGATTTTTCTATGAATGAGGAACATAAAATGGGAGGCTCACACTCCAGAGAAAGCCCTGCAGGAGCACAAATAGGAAAAGACAAGCATTCCCAGAAAGGCCTTTTGGATCCATGATTCGAGTACTCAAGAAAACTTTCTCATCACCTGTGACAGTAAAACCAATCTTAAACTAACTTAAAAGCAAAAAGGGGTTTTGGGGGGGTCATACTCAGAGGCCAGGCTCGCTTTGGGCATTGCTAAAAAAAAAAAAAAAATACAGTAAAAAAAAAAAAAAGCTGGATCCAGAGGCTCCCTAATGTAACCCAGCTGACCACTCCTGTCTTTCAGCTGTGCATTTCTCTCCTCTGGCTCAGTTCTCAGGCAGGTTCTTCCCTTCAGGGGGCAAAACAGCAAAATGATTGCCAGAAGCTCCAAGCTTATGGTTCAGCAGACCCTGTGCAAAGGGCACAACTCCTTCCAACTCTTAAAGCTGCAGTACTGAATTTGCTGTGATTACTGAGTTTGGCTAACATATCTATTCCCAAACTAATCGCTACTGATAGGGAGGCACAACTGATTAGCCAAGGCTGGTTATATGTTTATGCTTGATAAGCATATAAAACACCCCTGCTTCTTTTTTATTTTTGGATGAGTAAATTTTTATTTTATTATTCTGTTTAGAGTATATATTCCCAACATACTTAATTCAGAAATCAAAGTCCCTTTATCTTTTTATACCAATACTTCAGATTTGTAGTCACAACTCCCATGACCCAAAAATTCTAAAACCAAGGCAATGCCCTTCAAAAATCTAGCAAAAGTACTATCCAAGGGCAACCTGAGAAGTTATTCTGCCTCATATTTAGCACACTCAGAAGTGACTTTCACATTCAGCACACTATCCATTTCTACTTAAAAAGGAAATTCCTTTGTTCTCAATATTAAGAACATGTTCAAAGCATGGCACTATTTTCTATATATTTAATAGATATATGTAACTGAAATAAAGTTATGCCCCCTTTTTTCTAATCTTAATTACAAATTTAAAATATGTTTTTGCTCATACCTTCAATTGTTTTTCAGAGTTCTACTCTGTGGTAAGTTTTATGCCAGATGCTACAGATAGGCTTAAAAAAATGAAAGAACTGAAAAAAGCAACTCTTGCTGGACATGGTGGTACAGGCCTATAATCCCAGCGACTCCAGAGGCTGAGGCAGGAGGATCACAAGTCCCAGGCCAGCCTCAGCCATCATTGCTAAAAAAATACAGTAAAAAAAAAAAAAAAAAAGATCCTGACCTAATCCAGATCATCATAAGTCACTTCAGAATTCATACAGTTTTTTATTTACTAGCAATTACTCATTAACACAACACTGAGAAATAGAGTACATGAAAATTAAAGACCTGAATTCTCATAACTCCCTTTAATCCTGTCTTGAAATTCAAAACAGCCAACAGTAAAGGAGCAATAATTCCTAAAAAGCATTAGAAGAACACCAACAAACTCTCCATCCATAACAACAGAGGATTCCAAATCCTAGAAAAGACAGCGGGAGGTGCTTAGGAAATGGATCACTCAAGTGTGTCCTGAGTGCTTGCTGTAACTAACTGCCTGTTAATCCAAAAGCATGCTCAAGCCTGTAAGCTGTCTGTTTACTACAATCCCATTTAAAGAATATTGCTTTATTGAACTTTTCAATCACTACTCAAATATATATCAAAACCTCCTCACATTTACAGTAATCTTATGGAAGGGCTCCTTGAGGTCAATTAAGGATCCTCTTAGTAAAAAGAAGAAATATTCAAAATTTTAAGAGTTCCTTCTAGTTAGGAGTTGAAGAATTTATTTAAAGCTTACTTGTTATTGTAAAACTATAACAACTCTATTGGAAATAATGTCATTTACTCATCTGCTTATTCCAAAACTTCTAAGCATATGTAGCAGTAGTATAATTACTTTCTTGTAATTATACATAGATGTACCTAGGGTACACAGAGTTTTTAGAATTGTACTGTAGGTGATATTGGTTTAAATATATGAATATATATGTTGCAGCAAGCAAAGATCATATTAAAATTTGGTTTAATATATTTTTAGGTTGATTTTTTTCTTCAGTAATCCTTTATTAGCCAACTATATTAAAACATTTTAGCTTTATAAGAAAATACAGTCTGATATATATTAGTGAAAGATTGTGTTATAAACTACTAAAAATATCTCAATCTCTGAATCACCAGCTTCAACAAAAATGTATTCTTAGAAAACTGATTTGGTTTTTTTTCCCCTTAACACACCAAAAAGGAAGGAGACACCTTCCAAAGAGAGGAATGTGCACTCGGCTCACAGTTGTAGAACTCCTCTGAGTCTTTCCCAGGCTGATCTGGGGTCACCACTGGTGCTCAGTTTTTACTTTTTAAATGGAATCAGAGGTGAACATAGCTTTATTTCATTTTCTAATGAAACTACCATAGAATATAATAGTATTAGGGTGAGGGTAAGTAAACCTTCACTTTTCTTTGTTTATCAGCCAGCAAGGGCCAGAAAAGTATAACCAAGGTGGTAGCATGAAGCTAGATATGCCTTTTCAAAAGCACAATTGGGGGCTAGGGTTATAGCTTAGTGGTAAAGCTCTTGCCTTGCATGCGTGAGGAACTGGGTTGATCCTCAGCACCTCACCTTGACCATTTGATAAATACTAGACAACAGCTTTGATGGTGATTCTGCACTACAGAAGGTCAAAAATAACAGTGTTCACCTCTAATGTGTTTGAAGAGTACAATTTGCTTTGCCCATATTTAAATGCTCCTCTGCCTGTGTCTCTACCCAGATAGATTCTCGGCAAAAATTATCAGCTCTCTAATTTTAAGTACACTAGCAATTTTAAAATAATAAACCTGATATGAGAACTCATCATATTAAATATCTTTTTCCTAAATTCCTCATTTCACTTTTTTTAAAATGACCTCAACATTATTGTTTGAATTTAAATTGTCAAAACAAACCTTCAAAAGTAGAGTAGAAAAAGAAAGGCAGGCATCATAAGGTTTCATCAAACCT